GCCAAAAGGGGCCCATAATTTTGGGGACTACCCGCGTGGCTCAAAGCCCTCAAGATTGATTTCGGACATGTTATCGCCCTCATATTGCATGAGCCTACAGTATTGCATGCGCCTATCTTTCCCATTGTTGTTCTACTCGATCTGTCACAGGGGGCCAAGGACAGGATCTGCCTGGTGTAACACAGGTACCCGGAAAGCCCAATATACTTGAACAATGCACCTCACCCCAAACCCTGAAACCCTTTAGGGGCTATTCCTCAATTACAGGGTACTGGCAGATGGGCCTGCCTGATAAGGCGATAGCTTTGATGCGGTATATGCATGAGCGTTCACAGCTCAGCTACGCATCGCTTGGTTTAGGGTTTAAGTTTAGGGTTTATGAAGACCCTAAGCCCTAAACCCTCTCACCACAACCCTAGAATTCTCGTACGGGCTCTTATTATCACCATGGGGAGATGCAGTGACATCCTTTGTGGTGTTAGTTGCAAGAAGGGGCTGCCTTCTTAGGCCTATAGGGCGTTTCCATGACAATGGCTCTAGGATTCTAAGCCCGTCTGTTTTTTTTTGTATGTTCTGGGGAAGCCCTCATTTGTATAAGTGCGTACATGCTGAAGCTATTCTTACTGTAGCATCCACATGGCCAAGCTATGTCCTGAGTCTCCAGCCCTCCAAACCCCCAAACCTAGGGAACTACAAAGTTCTCAACTCAACTTCCTGGTTCTTAAAAGCGAGCGAATAAGGGAGTAGAATCTCCCATATAATCCCCGTAGAAGAGATTCCCTTATTCCCTACTAACCCTAAACCCTAAACTTTAAGCCCTGAGCTTTACACCAGATTCCTTTATTCCCCACCAAGAACCAGTAATTCAAACCCCCTGATGCCCCAGACCTGGCTAGGCCATTACGCCCTACATGGAACGGGAGGACTTTGATCCGGTGGCCATCAAGAAGGCACCGGGGATGGTTTTGAGGGGTTTAGGGTTTTTGGCTGAGGGATTAGGGTTTACGGTTTAGGTTTTAGGGATTAGTGTCTAGGGCTTAGGGATATTAACCCCAGTAATGGAAATTCAAATGGAAAAGAAAATGGACATTTAAGTGGAAACTGGGGTTCTGCAGTGGTTTAAAGGGATTCGGATCATGATGAGGTCGGGTTTCACTAAGTCTTTTGGGTGAGTGTATATAATTAAGGTTCCTTAGAAATATTTAGGAACGTTAGTGAATGTTGATTTTCCTGTGGGGTTTAGGGTTTAAGGTTGGGAAGACAATGAATAAGATGCATGGGTGATGATCTTGGGTATTGAGCAGGGTTTAAGGGGCTTAGGTTCTATAGGGTAATGGTTTCAAGTTGAGGGCTACCTTTCGGGCCTACGTCTCAGGGCTTCGGCCCCACCATGCTTTTGGTCCTATTTGGATGAGGGGGACCGAATAAAGAGACATAATATGGCCCCATAAGCCACATAATAGTCCCAAGTATCCGCATTATAAACCTACTTGCTAAGTCCCCCTGACCCTCAAAGTATTGCTGTGTATGTTATCATGATGTGTCAATGCGGTCTTTCCTGCTTTTGTGGACATTTAAGGGGAGCATCGGAAGTTGTACTGCTGGAAATCATAGTTTCACGCGTGCACGCGCAAATCAGGGACAGGACAACTGACACAGACAAGGATAGGAACTGCGTGCTCCTAGACCTTGAACCGCCCTCACTAAAAGGAGTGTGGATGATCTTGCGATCCTCGAAGCCTGTGCAAGGCCTCCATTGCTTGCGAAGCCATCTGCCTTTGGGTCGGGGCCATGTACAAGTACCACTTCGTGGCCAAGGCCCCTGGGAAGCAAGCAATTTGTGTTAGACATATATTGGGGTTTCCCATAATTAGGGGTGCCATTTGGGAGTGCCATAATAATGACTCTGGTATTGAGGGGTCTATATATTGGCGTCCCCTTATTGTGGTAGTTTTGGGTTAAACGTTTTGGGGTCTGTCATCATGAGGGCTGCTGCAGTCCGAGCGTTGTCGTAACGATTTGTTAATTTTATGTTGGGTACTGCCCCCGCTCAGTAACAGTTGGATAATGCTTGTAAAATGGTTATATATATATATATTCCTGAATAGGATCCCTGATATAGACTGTTAC